GGTAGATGGCTAGAAAGGTAGCTCTGTAGATAGATGGCGAAAGAGAGACACAGAGAGAAAGAGAGAAAGAGAGACAGAAAGGGAGAAACACTCAACCACCTTTCAATCCGTCAGTGGGTTCGCTCTGCCATTTTTGCGTCACACCAGCTCACCTCTCCTATAGGTTTTCCATTTTTGAAACTTCCGCCACCGCCTTGTGCGGTACTACTGGTAAATATAAGATATAATAGGATCATATCAAATCATATTCCGGTATACCCTGGTACAACAGTTTGCCACTGAACCCATGGCACATTGATAGTGGGGTACCTTCAAATCATCCATCTTAAATCATGAAAAAATCGGATTTTCCATGATATAAACCATCCATTCGGGGTACCATTTCCAGAAACCACCAGATTTACCGTTCAAGGCTGGTGATTTTCCTCGCTCCTTGAAGACCTCGAGCTCACAGGCTTCGGCTGCTGTAAGGCGTTGCTGCGGATCCACCTAAAAGCCAGGCGAAAACCAAGGGATTTGGCTTTTGCCGAGATTTTTGGGTGGAAAAAATGATGGAAACATGGGGAATTTCATTGATTTAGACTGGTTTAGACTGGTCGAGAACGGCTTGGAATAGTCTGGAAGCAGAAAAGTAAGGAGCAACACGCGAGAATTGAAGTGATTCAAGCAAAAAACACAGGGATTCTTGATCAATGGGAAGAAACATTTGGCAACAAGATGGTACATTGAACAATTTCACCAACACGGGTGGATTGAGGATACGATAAAGCTAAAACAAGTAAGAACCATGTTTGAATGCCATTCAGCATGAGCAGAAGGCATGAAAAATGGGAGTTGGTACTAGTAATGGCTCACATTGGTAGGTTTGGGGGTCTGACAAGATTTCAAGCATATCTGCAAGATTAAGATAGCTTGTCCTGTCTTAATCATCCAAGACATGGACAAACAAATTGCCGCAACCAAGAGCATCATGGTTCTGTGGGACTCTGTTTGGGAGGTAATCGTCTTACCCACGTTCTGCTGTCACTCTGCAAAAACTTGAGAGATAAAACCAATCACATCATTCAGAAGGATGGAGGCAGTTTACCAAACTTATGTGAAAACCTATGTATGGCATGGCGAGGTAACATCCTCCAGATCTTGGCTTCTCTGGGCTCCGTGCTTCCAGGCACCTGCCAAAAACATCGGATTGCTCCGCTCAAGAATCATCGTGTTGGTGGTGTCAACCCGTCCCAAAACGTCACTGGTTTCAGGGTTGATCACCCTAAATCAGAGGTTTGAACATAGAACATGTTTGAAATCACCAACAAAAAACAGCAAGAGTTCTCTCAAAACCTGAGCTTTTTTCAAGTCAACAAATCTGACCTCAGAGATCCCCAGACCTGTCCAACAACTCTGCCAACTGTTTCAGCTTCTTTTCTGCAGCCGTTGGCCCTGACAGCAGCCCGGTCAGCTCACGACTGGAACAAAAACTGGGCGGGTGGGTGTCAAAATGGGCAACCCCAAGGATGGTTTACTTCTTGCGGTTCATCTGGTGTTGGACCGTCACCTGTTCGCTTCATGGCAGCTCCAACAACCTAGGCTGAGTTGCAGGATGCCGAAACCAGTTGCTGTAGGAGGACCATGACACCACGCGAAAATGCTCTGCTCAAGGCTTTCTGTGGAGAATATATCCATGTATACAAATGTATATATCTATAAAAGATTATATATGAATATATAATAGCATCTCTTGTCTATATCATATATATATATATACATTCATATGTATGCATAAATCTGTATACATGTATACTTATCCATTCAAACATGGTTCTCACACGTTTTCACAGAGCATCAGCATGCTTAGCCTCATACCGTGGTAGCGCCAATCAGGCGGCTCAGCTGAGCTCTTGCCTGCTCCTCTGCTGTCTTCTTGCTTTCCTGGACGAGTTGCGTGGGAGACCTCCATGTGCTGTGTTTCGCAGTCGAGATCTGAACTCTGATACTGTTAATACTTTCAACCCTTCGAACCAATTCCCAAATAGGACGATTGAAACACGTTACCTGCCAACCAGAGCTCCATACTGCATGAAGATTTCTAGCTGAAAAAGATACCGTGCTTCAAAACCGAGGGAAAACTATTGGCTCCAGGGGTCACGCATAAAACCCTGATGAATCCCAAAAATCAAAGGTCTGGCACTTATTTCTCAAACAATCATGGAGGTTTCTCTGAAACCATGGTGCTCCCCAGCAAAAGCTATGGTTTATATTGGTTTAGATATATGTTGGGTTTATCATGTAGATTTATCTCCGAAAACAGTGCAGCAGCCAACAAAAAATAATGGTTTAGCATCATTACTCTTACTCTAGGACCATGATTTTCTCTTCAAAAACAGGGGTTTTCACGCAATAACCCTGTAAAACCTCATAACAAACAGCCACTGACAGGTTGCGTTGCCATAGTCAGCATAGGGGGCCAGCTCCGAAAACATCGACCTGAAAGCTCCCGACACAGGTTGTACGCCGCGCTGCAGATGTCATCCGCTGAGCCCCCAACCGCTTGGTAAAGCTGTCTAGCCCAACGACTTCGCGTTTCTGGCGATGAAGTGCACTTTCGAGGGAATATAAATAAATATGCTATGTCATATGTGGAATTGGATTTGAGATTTAAGTCCACTAAGTCTGTGCACAACGCATTCGTAACATTTCGTAACGCGGACACGTCGGACACTCCCAGTCTGAGATTGTCACCATTGTTGCCCATCCCAAATGGGAACTGTCCCAACCTCCGTGTGGAAACCTTTGGCGTTGAAATATGCAGCTGCCAAGCCTGCAGCAAACTTCGGAGATTTGGGGCCACGGGTCTGATGATTTGGTGGGAAAATCACCAACAAAAAGTCTCAATCTTTCCCAAACGTTGTACATCCAAAATTTTGAATAAAAGCAACTGCAGCCAGGCGACGACCCTGCAACATTTCTTTTGTGACCTTGGAAAGCGACATGTCTTTTGCAAGGGTATCTATTCAAGCAGCTTGCAGATTTCCATGAGAGCATTCAAGATTGGCTTGTTAACCATGTTCTTCCCATTTTCACACTTGGATGAAAAGACCTTGTTATTCATTGTTCTTCTTCATAGTCATCATATCCTTCATATCTTCAACGCCATATCGAGGTTCCGGCAGGCCCACGCAGCTGCATGATCTCTTCCAACACCTGGCAACACGGAGTCCAGGCCATGGTGCGAACACAGACAGAAATCCTTCATGGATTGAAAATTGATCAGTTCTTTCAGTGCTTGTGATGTGTTGGATATAGATGAGATATGTACATACATATAGATATACATATATGTATATATATATATATGTATATCTGTACACAGAAAAACAATATAGCTATATATACGTATGTATAGTGCCCTTTCTGTTGGCATGTCTACTTGCAAAATGTTGAACTATGTTGAAATGCCAAACCAGGGTGGAGGGCTCTTCATGCAGAAGGCATGAATCGATTCCCCAGTCACCTCTCGTGGGGTATGGCAGTTGCGGAGGTAGATCCTGCCAACGGTGAGCTCGTAAATGGTGAAAGCTGCCTCAGTAGATGCTGCTCATTGGACTTGGGGGGTTGGAGTTGGAAGCGCCGAAAGCGATGAGAGCAAGAAATCAATGGATTTCTATAAGTGGAAACTGCACTCCAACAACATAAACGATATGGGTTTGCTCAAAAACGAGGTATACCCCCAACGTCGCCATTCTAATGGTGAAAGTGATTTTCTATATCGGATTTGATCGGTAACCAACATATGTTTCACAAAAAGTAATGATCATATGCGAATATCACATTATATTACGATGGATGATATGGATAATACTACATATTATGTGAATATATCCATAATATCATCCATATATCCATATCATCCATTTTTGGGGAAGATCTGGGAGAAAAGTCGGTACGTCGTGTACGTGGTCTCACAGGTTTTGAACCGGGGATTGCCAAACTGCTGAGGCAACGGGCGGACCAGACGTCAATCTTTCGACCCCGTGTGCATCCCAAGATGACCTCATCGGAGAAGATTTTAGAGTTGAAAATCATCCATTGATGATGATCACTGTTTTACTTATTGAAGATTTATCAGAATGATTGATTAGATGATGCTTATTTAGGATATAGATATTTTTTTATTGGATGATGAATATTTAGATGATTGATGATAATCCATTAAAGATTATTTGGATGATGATACCCTTTTCCATCCACTGATCATGATCATTTTCACTGATTGTCTCTATGTGATGGCTATGAATTGGGGATATCCCATGTCTCAGACACATCTGGATTTCTTTGGACTTCCCAATTCTCCAAAAGACGGTTTCCCCAAATCTTGGTTCCAAATGAATCCTTAAATGAAACATGGTTGTTGCTTTTTGGCTCCCAACATGTCCTTCCATTTTGAGGGTCATTTCAAGGCATTTCCATTGTCTCCCTATTCTACCTCAGGGTTAACAGGGAATTATTAGGGTTAACTTATTCCATCTGGATTCCATCTCCATAATCATCATGGATAATTCATGGATTTCATGTGAAAGAAGATCCGCCGACCCCGGCCTTTGCCAAGGCAGGGGCGGCGCCTGGGACCACCGGAGGTGTGGAACTTGGCTCTTTCGTCGCTTGCCACGGCAACAATGACATCCCAACTCCGCAAGCAAAGTTTGTGGAATGTGGAACTTGGCTTCCCCCGCTGCCAAGATTGCAAAGTGCAAATTTTGTCATTATTGCACTCTTTATTCGTCTGTTTCCAAGCTAAACATGGTGAAGAACGGTGACAAATGTTGACGAAGGGACTCTGCTCGCGATGAGGCACAGTATTTTCTCAAACCCCTCAATGATCCTTAATGCCAGTCATTTCTTCAGCATGCGCCGCAAGAACATGGATCGGGGTCCAGGGCTCTGAATCGGAGAATGGTCATCGCAATTCGAGGTTGTTGATGTTGAACTATGTTGAACCATGGAAATGT